GTGATATCGCTATGAAATTCGGAATAGACGAATGTGCAAAGGTCTATTGCAAAAGAGAATGAAACATCCTGCACCATCAGAATGCCGGATAGTATACTCTCCGGCATACTATAGTATACTCATTTTGGAGTGGAATAACACCACTCACAAGAGGTAATAACAGTAAAAAACTCTCTCCGCGGCAAGTATCACCACAAATTCCGACAGATCTAAGTCATCGGTACTACTGTGAAAATGCTTGCTTGAAAATGTCAATTCAAAATCGAACGAAAATACAAGCAAAAACAATGTATACTGGGGATAACATTTAAGAAGCAAACAGTTTTTTTTATTCTTATATAGGTATTGAACAGTGTTGATGCCCGGTGAGGAAATGTACGTTCATAAAATTTCGTCGGATTTTTTCGACTGTTGAGAAGATGAAACAAAGTTGTCAGTCATGTATAAGGTTTCATTGTATAAATTTATTCATCATGAGATATTCGGGAGTTTTATCACCATTACAACGTAACTTTGACATAGAAATGGCCCCCAACGCCAAAATTTGCCAATTCAATTATTCCAGTAAACGGAACATTAGACAGAACCAATCCCAATTTGAGGTTAAAATTCATAATAACGATCTAAAATGTACTCACTGCTTATTAGTTGTGAAAACAACTATGTCTTCAGTATAAAATAATTGAAATCATAGAAACTTTTTTATCAAAACCATATAAACAATGTAAATTGCCAAACAGTAATGCGTCATCAATTTGTTTCCAAATTCAAGAAATGGCCGACGACACGTGTTTGTACATTGAGTGCAAGAGATCTTTCTTATTGAACGCAAGTGGTAAGAGTTTTCTCTTCCTTTTTCTTATGTAGATGAAGAAGGTACATAGAAGTTTGTGTTTTATGACGCAGGTGTATGATATACCGATTAGTTCATTGGCAATAAGTTGTAGAAATGCAAATTCATTAGAGATAGTGCCTAATTATTTCAATTATAATCATGTAGTTATATAGTTTTTCAAACTGCAAGAACCTTTCAATTCAAAACGTTAGCAATCATGTAGATTATTTTCGAAAACTTTATGAAGGAAAGTAGTATTTCAACGAAGATGAATGAGTAGATATATTTCCTGAAAAACAAATTGGGTAAATCAGTCAAGACTGTGTCTTCATTGTTGAATTTTTTATCATAAATAACATCAAAATTGTGGTAATTATTTTTGTATATGGCTACAACAAAGATCCTATAATAAAATGACTAATGACTTGAAGGATAACAACACACCAATGGAGTGTTCCATTTATGGGTATAATTGAAAGCAGGTAATAGTTGAAATGAACAAGATTATAAGAAAAAATCCTTTGTCGGTGAAGAAATATATCAATAAAGTGTATTTTTTCAAAATCCACGTGTTTACTAACCTTGTTTGAAGTGAACTTCAAGCAGTGACTTGAATTTATATTTTCCCACGTTACCATATGTCACGTTAGACTTGAGATTTAAATCTAAAAAAAAAATGAAATAATTAGATAAGAAGATTTTGCGAATGACGGTATAATTTATTCCACGACTGCGAAGTAGTTTCGTTAGACGACCTTAGACGAAATAAATTTTTTGTCAATTGTACCAAATCTGAAAAAAAAATTCATTATGTTTCCACGATTCTATTAATATTTTTCATGCGGCCTATTCTCGAAGTTGGATAATGATAATAGGAAAAACGATATCTATTGGAATTTATTTGTTTGAAAGTGCTTGACAATGTTTCATGGTGAATTTTATCAGTTCGGTCTTCCATTGTCTAATATGATATAATATGATTTGAAATCTGAAAGTACAACTAAAATTAAAAATTAAAATGAATAGTCAATTAAAATTAAACCTGGGAGATTCCAGGGTGATTCGGGTGATAACCCGAATTTTCGCCTCGGATGAAACGCAGAACCATCACACATTGCTCACACATCCACCGTATTCGCCAGATTTGGCTCCCAGCGACTACTGGCTGTTTGCAGACCTCAGAAAAATTCTCAACGGTAAGAAATTCCGTTCGGTCGAAGAGGTTATTGCTGAAACTGTGGTCTATTTTGTGGCCTGTGTGGCTCTTGATGGAAATCACGTTCATGAATAAAGACAATTTTGAACAGAAAAAACGCGTTTTCTTTCTTTCAGCCCATGTGTTATTTGATTGTTAGTCTTGCGTACATCAATAATCTGTCAAATATCTGCCTTTTTTCAGATGAGCACGTTTATATGTATATTTGTAATTAGTTTTCCTGCAGCTGAAAAAGCAAATGCGCCACTGGAATCAATGAAGTCGCCCCGGAGCGCCAATTAATTTTTGTTGTTTATTCAAGAACATTTTAAATTTTAATTGTTTTGTTATGCAAGACACATATTGAATTTGAAACAACCAAAAGCATTTCTCAAAGGTTTTTGGTTTGCAACCAACCAGAATCTGAAGAATATTTTTGATGTATACCATCGGAGAATCTGCTTACGTGTAATGAAGGCAAATTTACCTCGAAAAGTCACCTGTTAATATAAATTAAAGTTTAAAATTTCCATACTTAGCACAAACTGACTGATATATCGTGAAGTAGTCCCATTTCGTTCCCAAAACTTAAAAAAAAAAATGAATAAAATGTTTCTTTTGGAATGGAGAATACCAATCAATCTTACAGGAACTAGAAAAAATACACAACAAATATCTAAGGTACCTTTATTATAAGAAATGTCGTTGTAAACCCGATTACAACAGCATTAGAACAAAACAATTGAGAACTCACTTCTCAGATATACCTACACAGTAGGTTGAATGGACTGACGCCTTTCAGAACGCTTGAACATTTAAAGTAGGTAAAGTTGTTTACTGCCAGTCTTCAAGCATAGCCCACTGACTAATAAGAAAGTTTTTCTTCCTTATTCAGAGGAATCGGGCAAATTTAGGATATGCAGTTGGTTAGTACATCGTCCACGAGATGGAGTAACATTTTGTTATTCTGCTCCAACTTAAGAAGAGAAATGAAATACTCTGAAAGAATTCTGATTTCCAAACTGAACAAACTGAACCCATTGGTCCTTCTTGAGACCAATAATCAGTCGAAAGGGTAGGGGAGCTGGACTCCAAACCTGAAGGAAACGAGGACGACCTTCTGATTACCAAACTATTACAACGACATTTAAGAAGATTCGTCACATGATGAATATGCTAGTATTCTTATAAGCCTTCATTGGAAAATGGTGAGGGTGGTGATCTTTTGTTAATCTTTTAAATGTTCACTTTGGGTTATCCCAAGTATTAATTTGACTTGTATGTATTTATATATTAATAAATAGGTTAAATTATTGTCTCGAAAAAAAAAACATTTTATTGGTAGGTGATTGATTCTCTTAAATAATCGAATATCTCAATGAAATGTGATTGACAATCAGGATGCTTAGACGATAACTTTTTTCTACATAACAAATATAAGCATCATGAATATACTGTATGGAGCCGATGCTACATATCTTTCATAGAAAGGGATGTCAACATGATGTATAACATTTCTCTATAGTATCCATCATTGAGTAGTTATGAAAGTAGCGAGACAGAAATAATACAGAAACATCAGCATCCTACTACATATCTCTTTCGTAGTTGTTACATTGTGACATTCGTATTAGTGGCATTTTGCAACATTTATTTCATTTCAAATACTTTTATATGAATTCATAGAAAATGTTTTTCATAGATGTCATTTGTCCTTGAATCAATACATTCTCTTTAAAGTAGTTCATTTTTATTCGATAGTCGCAGGGCATTCCCATATGTAATGTAGAAGGAATTTCTGGGCGGCTTGATGCGCATGGCCCATGAATCGAGGGGCAAAACTCTGAATCTGACTTTTTAAGGAGACTGTGTTCACTGCTCTATCAGATGAATCTTCTGACCACAATTCCTTGATAACTTCTGCGAAAGATTTGATTGAAGCGCCCTCCGTACTAGAAATATTAGTATTGATATCTTTCATGTACTCATCCTTTTTCAAGTGCTTGTATATTTCTTATGAATAATCTTTATAATGAGGCCACCAGGCCTGTTAGGGTGAAATAAATACAGTCAGAAGCATCATATCAAAAGCATATAAATCAAATCGGTTGACATTTCCTCACAGCGTGGGCCCATGTAAATATTCAACATTCGAAATCAGACAGCTATGCATCATGACACCACAGTCAATACATGCCGATAATCTCAATTGTAAATTATATAAATACGTTACTGAAATTCATGTATTGAATGCAAATATTTTGCAACTGTCTGTCGACGACCAAGATAAATACCCATTCTTCCTTCTGTATAAAAATTCTTTGCACAATCGTGAATTTGCATTTGGAAAAGTACAATTCGGTAGATTCGCGAGATATGCTTCAGACACGCCTTTGTGATATACATTGATAGTGAAGGTTTCAACGGAATGATCTGCCGCACTTATTTTGTTTAACTATTCACAAACTGAACATAGGTTTGAGATGCATACAAACTATGTGGAAGAACTGGTGGATAACTCACTAATAACAGCTACTTTTCTAAGTATTACCGCCTTATACAGTGTGTAAAAGCCACCCCAGGGTGTTACATTTAAACCAATTGCCGCTAGACAATAAGTATTTTTGATAATATTGTTAATTTACCTAATAAAGAATGTTACGCGTTACTTTATTAGCACACACACAACTACTGTATTTTTGTCCACCCTGTACCAATTGGAATCAACATGTGATACATTTTTGGAATCAGCTCAGCTAGAGTAATCCGAAAATTGTGACAAAATGGGGGTGTTCCATTAAAAAAAATGACGGTGACGTCATTACTCGAACGTAATTCACCCTGTATATTAGATTATTATTTTAAAATACGGTAAATTAACATGAAAAATCGACGTGTTTCAGGATTATTTCTTAAAATGACCTGTTTAGCTGGAAATGAATTTGTTCCATACTTTACGGACACAGTGTATAATATGGTGAAAACATGTTTCTTAAATGATCGTATGTTACAGAAAGGAAATATGTGATTTCAGTTTAATAATTTTGTGAACATAAAATAGATATCGAAAATAATTTTCAGTCAGTTCTAGACACTTGAAAAAATATTTGGCTTCGAGGCAGTGGACGTTTTTTTTCCTTTCAAAATCCGTGGTTGTGAATATCTCCGTAATAGGCTCTTAGATCATAACCATCTTGATATCCATATCCATCGTAAATGGTATTGTAGAATCCCTGTTTGTCAAAACCTGTAAAACCAAAGGTTTAATTAAGTAGGGGGATAAAATTTCCTCAATTTGGTTATAAACGACAAAATTTATTTTATATCAAACAAGAGAAATGCACATGAATGTGATATTTTTTCAACAGTTACATTCTATTCAGCAGAAACAGAAAAAAAAATGAAGTGAAACAACTTGAAAGTAACATTATTTTGGTACACGTTGTTTTTAACAGTAGCCCATGAGTTCAATGGGATTCAAATCCGGTTGGTAGGGTGGAAGACGCAAACCTCATCAAATTTTATCCAATGTGATGCTTTTGATTTACCTTGATCGACTCGTATAATTCGGGTTTGAACATGTTAGGGGTGAACATACTGCTTTTTTCGTGCAGCCACTTTACAATGCCAGCCTTCCTAGAAAATGTGTTGGGGGCTGGATCAATTTGAATATTATGGTATAAAGTATTATTGGTCACGACCACCGAATTCACAGGTAAATTTGGAATTAACTTCTCTTGTAACCATTTACCACAATTCTCAGAATTCATTTCTGAATGATAATCGCCTGATTGTGTGTCTGATTTAAATATAGGCCAAAAATCAGGTGTAAAGTCCATGTCACCTCCTGCACGGTCCCTGCGAAAATAATTGATCATTTGTAAATTCTCAATGCTCTAATGTTCATTTTCTCTGTTGAAATGTTTCTATCATTTTCAGTCTTTCTCCATTTAAAATTCTACAAAGAGATGTTTCGAAATTCACAATTTCCAAAAAGTCATTAGTTTTGCATTGCAAATTTTTAGCCATAATACGACACCCTTTCGTCTTTTGAAAGTCGTAAATAATCCGTCTAATATTGGAATACTCATACTCGGGAATAGCAGTTACGGGTGCTCTTCTAGGCCGCTTCTTTCTTGGGGTGGAAAGTTTTACTTTTCCGTTATTTGCAGAAATCAATTGCTTTCCTTCTTTAATCACTCTTTCAATGGTTCCTATTAAAATACAAAATGAAGATTTTGTTGAAATGGTTATTTTTTAAATTTATATAATGTTACCTATAGCAAGAGATGTTTTATTTTCAACATTTGATAAAGTATCCAACTCACATTTGAGACAAATAATTGAACACTTCAACCATTATTTCACGTGCCTGACTCTTGATGACTGGTTTTTTGTTATGCGATGACCTTTTTTCAGAAACAACACAAATTTTTCAGACAATGCCAAATGCCAACAGCATTGGAGTACGCCTCTATAGGTACAGAGCATTTGTATGTCTTTAAGAGCTGTAATTTTTGTGCATAGGGACGAGCTTGCCATCACGTTTGGCGCTTACTGTACTCACTTTGAACCGATTCACCTACCTGTGTATCGAACACATCCCCATTTTCATTGAAATTGATTACAATTATTATTCTTTCCGGTGAAACGAATAAGCAAATATGCTTTCTCAATGAATAGACATTGTTCGTGTTCTCATATTTTGGAAAACATTTCGCAACAAATATTTTCGACGGCCTTCAAGATTTCTACAGCTGGTTTCATCTCTTCAGATCGTTTCAAGTGAATATGAAGTATTGGTGAAAAGAAAGCTAAACGCGTTATACAAAACGTGCTACAAGAAATTAACTCAAATAACATAATAACTAATAGCAATTCGACGAATATTCATAACCAGCAGAGACCAATTCATTTCAATTACTGCAAATCCTGTTCGATGCTATTTGTTTCGTATTCTTTCGTTACTCAATATATCCGGCTGAATGCCTGAATGTCAGACCGCGCATAAGGATCTGCTTCTTCACCTTAATCTCAACCTTAGAATTTTATTAGTGGTAATTATGATTTACTGCGAATATATATTCGAAGGGAAAACGGGTGCGAAAATTTACTTCATAGTGAAAATCATAGAATAAACTGTAATAATGAGTTTTAATATGGATTTTCATCAAGTTTTGGCCAGCTTTATTCAAGAATCTGATTTTAGCAATCGGGACATGTATAACAGGAAAAATCATCATTACTGGAGTGATGAGAAACTTAGGCGAAATATTACTTATAATTTTCAGGTACGTTTCAACATAAATGTATGGTGCAGTCTTATTGGGTAAAAAATCATTGGGCCACATTTTTACAATATTGCCTTGAAAGGTGAGCGCAATCTGGAGTTTCTCAGAACAACATTGGAAGAGTTTTTTGATGACCTCAACTTAGCTAATCGCGAAAGAGTGTTTCTTCAACAAGACGATACACCTCCACACAATTTTCGAAACGTTTATGACTTTTAATTGATCTTTTCAAATAATTACTAGCAAAGAACCAGTACGTTGTGCCCCCCCCCGTTCTTCGGACATTACAAACATGGCTCTTTATTGAAATACGAGGTGTATAAAAAAATAGCTACGATAGGGTCGATGATGCCGTATTTAGCATCAATGGTCATACTGATTTGAAGGCTACAAGAAAGATTTTGAAGTGTGCCTAAAAATGTATTGTTCAAATAGGAAATGTATTCCAAAAAAATTTTACAGTTTTTACAGTTTGTGATAATCATTAGAAAGTGAATTTATAAAGAGAATTTTTGAAAAATCACATCTTTTATTCCATAAACCAACTTGAAATATCATGTAAATCAACCTTGAAATATCTACATTGGGTCTAGTTGTGACGAAAATTTTTTGAAGTAATAACTTCTTATGGGAAGGTATACCACTTCGTTACTTATCGCGTCACAGCGCTCTTTCTCTCACGCATATGTCATCGGAAGGCAGGCTTCTCCTCTCTCGTCAGACAAACGCTCAGTGTTTAGTGTGCGATAGACATATACCGTTGATAGTATTATAAAAATCTAAACAGCAAGCACGTGATATTCTTTTATTATGTCAAACGTGGCTTGAAAATGATGATACTAATTTTGTATACGTACATTATTTATTCCTACAGGAGTAACAATTGGCTTATGGTAGCTATAATATATGTACATACACAAATTAATCAATGGTAAATTTAAATAATTAATAACCTTTCCTTGCATTATCATAGTAATATACATACAATTTAAGTAATAACCTGAGCTTTTCTCAAGTTTAACAATTTCAATATTAAATAGTTCAACTTAGATCAGTTTAAGTTATCACTTCTGTCGGGCATCCTGAGACACACTAATTTTTTTTTCTATAAAAATCAAGAAAATGTCATGTATGTTCATTCTATTTTCAAGTATTTTCTCTGAATGTCGAAAGTAAATGTTGAAATTCAAATAATTGTTGTTCTGCAACTTTCTGGAAATAAACGAATTCACCACATTTTTTCATCTAATCTGTTTAGAGCGAAAGAGATTATAAATTTTTTATAACCCATTACTAGAATTCCCTCGGTCTTTTTCACAACGAACTCTTATATAAGGCTAATCGTGTGGTACAAGAATCCTTGATAGATATACCGAAAGTGTTATTACACCTAATCAAAGATAATCTTCCGGTAATTTACATTAGATAGTGATAAAAGATTAGTTGATGTTCCAGATAATCACTCAAGTTGAATTTTTTCAACACTTTGAATTGATTTTAATTATAAGTTTGGGTTCATGATATGACAAAAGACGTTCAATATTCTGAAAGTCATAGTTTTAGGAATAATTATAATAATGAAAATAATAATAATAATGATAATCATATTCAATTAGACCACTCTGTCAAGATGGTTGTTCTGATTATTGGAGTCCTTGGTGGAATAATGCCCTCTCTACTCTCTGCCACTGGAATCAATGAAGTCGCCCCGGAGCGCCAATACATTTTTATTGTTGTTTTTATTTTCATCGTTGTTTTAATAAAATTTCATAATTTCCACTCTCGAATCTTAAAATCATACCGGCTTGCCGCACTAAGGCAGAAATCTTAGCCGCACAGATGCAGAAGACTGTCATTCTTGTCTCACTGCGCTTGCTCAGGGAACATGATTATCGGACCCAATGATCACTTACCCCACAGTGTGGGGGAGTGGTCATTGGTTGATAATGCTGGCGCGCTCTCCCGAATGTATCGGGGCTTCGGTGGATAGGGCCTGACCAGCGCACACTACGGTGGAAAAAAAACATATTCAATCAAAAATAATGGTTGAATCTAGTAAATCTGTTTATTCAACCTAATCAACTACATACTTATGAGTGAATTCTTGATGCCCTAATTTGTCATCCATTATGCAAGATAACCTATATAATAATAATCGATTTTTTGACAACATGTAGTACCAGATGTAGTAGGAATGAATAATAAAGACAATTCCTTAATAATATCTCCTACATTTTGTTAAAAAGCAGAATTCAGGTTCTGATTTCGTCATTTGAGTAACGCAATCAGAACTTGCTCTTCCATTCAACCATCATAACAATGTTTACACATTAACCTCAATTATTATTAATTATCAGACATAGCACTCAAGATAGTGGCAAACCAGAGACACGCGTTTTGGGCTTTTGGCCCATCATCAATATGGTGCAGCCAAGTGTAACAACACTTGGACAGCACTTGGTTACCAAAAGAAAGAAATACAAATGCACGGAGCCACCAGCTGGAGCCAGCCATACATTTGTGGTTTCAGTTAATAGATCTTGTGTTTACAAGAAAACTATCAAAATCACCAAGGAGGCGCAGCTATGGCTACCTGCGTCACATCCAGGTCCAGGAAATAATACACATTGAGTGTTTTGATATAGATACAGAAGTTATTAATCGGACATAGCACTCAAAATAGTGGCAAACTATAGACACGTGTTTCGGGCTTTTGGGATATCATCAGTATGATACAGCCATTCATTTGAAATTCAATAATTTTTCAGCTCTTCTCTGAATTTTGCACGCGACAGTGACTCTAATGAATCAGGAAGTCGATTTTACAGCCGAGATATATTATATGAAAAGGAGAATCGAAATAACGAAGTTTTATAAGATGGAGTGGCTAAATGATGTTTGAATCTCAAGTTCAGGTGATGAACAACGATGCGTAGGCTGATCTTTTCATAGAGCT